TTCTTTGTTGAAGAGGGTCTGTGCAATCCTTCTGCCTAATCCGCCATCTTGCCCCGCCTCCCTGAAATTATTCTTGCAAAGTTATACAAACAAAATGCCAGGAAAATATATTATTCTTTATGTTTCATAATTGATTATTCAGCAATAGTTCCATGTTGACTATACCTTCATTATTTAAATTCTGAGTTCCACAATATCAGATTTTCTTGTTCTCTCAATTCTATACCACATCCACACCACCTCTCTGGATACATCTTATTTATTCAGTGAATTCTTCTCCCTCTATTCATCTCTTAACTGATGGTTCCCTCAGGGTGCTGTCCTAGGTTATTTTTTCTTCTGGCCCTATACCCTCATCCACACCAAGAGTTTAAATTAGCATTTACAGCTCTGAAATCCCAAATTATCATCTTTGGTCTCTTGCCAAAGCCACTGACCCACAGTGTAGTATTCTACATCCAAACAGAACTCAATTTGTCAAAACCCAAGTCAAGAAAACTCGCTGCCGTGGAGTCGGTCCCGACTCATAGTGACCCCTTCTTGGGTTTCTGAGGCAGTATATCTACTGAAGTAGATTGACCAGTTTAACTTCTGAGGAGTGGCTGGTGGGTTTGAATTGCCAGCTTTCTGGTTAGCAGTCAAATCCCTTTGTCACTACACCACCAGAGCTCCTGTCAAAACCCAAACACATCCTCTTTTCACCACAATTTTTCTTTCTCTTTCTGTGTACCATTATGTCTTTCAATTCTACCATTATGTCCAAGTCCAAAACTGAAATGTCATACTTGACTCTGTCTATTGCACCCCCAACATCTAATTGATGAAGATATATAAGTTCAAATTCCTAAATATCTCTTTAATCAATTTGTTTCCATTCCAACTGATATCAACCACATTTAACCCTCCTCCTAGAAATCTGCAGTCTAGATTTCTACCACACCTGGCACCAAGATCTTATTGCCCCTATACTTCACTCCTCCCGATCTATATTTCAAACTGCAGCCAGAGCCAGCTTTGAAAGACATAAATCTGGTATTATCACTTATATAATTAAAACTCTTCAATAATTTCCAAAAGTTCATAGAATGAAGTCCAGACTCCTGACCATGGTTCTCATAGATTTGAATCTGCAGTATCTGGCCCCTGACCACATGGCACCATTCTGTTTCTGGTGTGTTACAATCCAGCCATACCTAGAATGTTGAAGTTCCTAGAAATTATACATTCGTCTCTTGGCTTTTCATGTGCTATGCCAGATGTCATCACCAGTTCTACCCTCCCTCCATAGCTTAGTTAAGGCTTACTTGTTCTTCAGACCCAACTAAAAGAGATACAAAGCTTTCTTAGAACCCACTCTCCTGCATCATGGGATTGGAAGATGTGCTTTTCTGTATTTGCATGGCTTGTGGTAAATAGAATAATGGCTCCCCAAGGATGTCCAATTCCTGTTCCCTGTTCTTGTGGTTGTTGTTGTTATGTGCCGTCGAGTCAGACCCGACTCATTGCGACCCCTCCCTTGGGTTTCCAAGGCAGTATCACTACGTAAGTAGATTGCCCCATCTTCCTTCTAAGGAGTGGCTGGTGGGTTTGAACCACCAGCTTTCTGACAAGCAGTCAAGTGCCTTAGGCACTATGCTACCAGAGCTCCCAGGAACCTGTGAATATGTCACTTTACTTGGCAATAGGGACTTAGCAGATATGAATAAAATTATAGAGGTGAGTAGATTATCTTGTATTATTCATATGAGTCCAAATAGGAGAACTTTTCCTTTTTAAATAGAGTCAGAGAGAGAGATGACTATGGAAGAAAGGTCAGAGAGATGCAGTGCTGCTGGCTTTGAAGACTAAGTAAGGAAAAGGGCCATAGCCAAGGAATGTAAATGACCTCAAGAAGTTGGAAAATGTAAGGAAACAGAGTGAAATGTAACCCTGCCAGCACCATACTTTTAGAACAATGAAACATATATAGACTTTTGACTTGATTAGTATAAAATAACAAATTTGCGTGTATTATGCCACCACGTTTATGGTAATTTTTTACAGCCACACCACTCCTCAGAAGGAAGGTTGGGCAATCTACTTCCATAGTGATACTGCCTTGGAAACCCAAGGAGGGATCACTGTGAGTTGGGTCCGACTTGATGGCATATAACAACAACAAAAACAACAACTAAGAAACTAATAGCAGCACCTTGTGCACCATCTATTATATAGCAGGTAACACACTATATTGTAATTGTCTAGAGCAAAAATCTGTTTTTATCTCCAATTAGCCTGTAAATTCCTTTAAATTAGATCATGTTTATGTATTATCTTGGGATATTCCCAAAGCCTACCGTATATAAATGTTAAACAAAAAATGTTTTTGAATAGCTGAGAAAAGGAAGTTTAATAATTTAAAAAAAAGGAGAATGGAAAGAGGAAGGAAGAAAAGAGAATGAGACAGAGACAGAGGAGGAGGAGGAAAGAAAAAATGTTGATCTACAAGACAACTTAAAGTTCCTAGCAGTACAAATATTCTGTATAAATATACACTGCCTTCTATATTTGTGTTAACCCTCTTAATTATATGGCATCACAGCTTGAAGAAGGATTATGAGCAAGTTAGTTAATGCAGAAACGGTTCTCACAATATGAAACAAATTCTCGGTGGTTCTCCCCTTTGATTACAATCTAATCAAAATCAGCATTAAACTTTGAATTCAGAACAACCGAGTGCTAAAAGAAATCAATCTCTAGTACAATTCTAAAGACTTTTTTCCTAAGTCAGTGTGAAACTTGTGGCTATTCCCACAAAAATACTAAACTACTAGTGAATATTAAATATATATTTATTTGTGAGTTTATATTAGTTATCCAGTTACTTTAATTATTGTAACTTTTAATATCCCAGACATATTTATTTTTTAAATTTATGGATTATTTTGAGCACTGTATGAGCAACTTATCTAATCATCAGTCTTAAACCTGTGATAATCTTCAGGAAGGACTTTTGATACAACACAAGGAATACCCAGATAATGATTTAAAGCCTCCTGCAAAAAAGGGAAAAAAAAAGAAAAAAAAGGGAAAACACTTAGATGGCCTCATTATCCAATGGAGTGGTTTGTCTGTGTGTCTATGTGCTTGTGTTTGTGTGTACATTAAAGAGAGAAAGAGTTATGTGGTTGAAAAGTCTGACTACATCCATTTACTGTTATATATGTTAGAAGGGAGGAGGGAGTAAGAAAAGAGAGAGAGATAAAGGAAGAAAGAAAATGCTCATCTACAAGGGTCTTGAAACCAAGAGAATTAGCACTTGAACTGCTCAGGAAAGCACTCAGTTGTGTTCATTCTTCAGGGACGTTAACACCAATTTTATTATCTCAATGATTATTTTGGCATTTTTCCTTTGGTTCTCTATGGTCTAAATTACGTTTTCTTACATGTATAAATAAACTCTCAGTTAAGAGAAGTTCTGGCAGATTTATCCAGATGATTAGTAAAATATACTATTGGATCAATTATTTGTATACTGCAGGGAAAAAATTTGTTCCAGGACCTTAATTCCATTAATTTTACAGATCTAGACAGAACTGGAAATTAATAATAATACCATAAAAGGAAAATCTATATATGTAATATAAGTTTTGCCACATACTACAAAATCAGGGCTGATTTTGGTACAACACAAGAGACAATAAGACTGAATTAAAATCTCTTGTTAAATATGGGAGAAAATAAAAAACCAAAACACTTAGATGGCCTCACTACCCAATGGAGGGTTTGTACACATGTCAATGAGCTTGTGCATATGTGTACTAAAGAGAGACTGGAAGAAAAATTTACAATGGCAAATTGTTTATAAGATAATGGCAGAAGACAATGGTATACACTAGCTCTGTCCTTAATGTTCTTTCCAAGTCAGTGATGGGTTTGCTTTCAAGTTTGCTGAGCTGTTGGCATGACAAACCACCAGAAAGTTCACCATTAACTACTCAAAAGAAGACGGGTAAGTCGATTTTTATGACTACATAGATGATAACATCATGTAGAGAGGAACTATGCAATGATTCATATCTTTCATTCATTTCACAAATATTAGTTGAGTACATATTCTCTGCCAAGCACATGTACTAAGGATACATTTATTGCTGTTGTGTGTCACTGAGTCAATTCTAAGTCATAGTGACCCTATAGAACAGAGTAGAGCTGCCCAATAGCATTTCCTAGGCTTGAGAGGAGCAGTTTAGATCATGTTTATCTATTGATAAGTATAAAATAACAAATTTGTGTATATTATGCACCAAATTTATGGTAATTTTTTACAGCCACAATAAGAAACTAATACAGCACCCTATAAACACCTATTACATAGCAAGTAACACACCACATTGTAATTGTCTGTAGCAAAAATCTGTTTCTCCCACAGAGCCACTGGTAGGTCAGGGATTAACCATTGTGTTGTCACCAGAGTTCCTTAAGGATATATAGCAGAGGAAAAAAAAAAAAAAAAAAAGATAAACACACTTGACAAAAATTCCTATTCTGTAGTTTATACTCTACTAGGGAGCTTCAGAGGTCCATAGCTTGTTGTACCAGTCCTGTACATAAAAGGCATACCCTACCTGTGAGCTGCCGCCGTCTACTTCGAGTTGTTTCACAATTCCCTGAACAGGGCGTAAACTTGGACCAGGCAGTGAATGTGCAGTCATCACGACATGGGACCATGCATTCTTGCACAAGGGGAGGCATGCCATTTGTCCGCTTGAGGCATTCCATCATTTCTGCCAACTGGTTTTCATCAGAAACACAAGACACAGCTAAAAAGAGCACGGATTCTTTTGTTATTATTTTGAGTAGATCATTCAGCTGATGTTTTTTGACAAAATAACAGAATGCCTGAATGTTTGAAAACTTAGTTATCCTTTTGATTTCAAAAGGTGTTCAACAAAGCTAACTTTATTCTTTTTGGAAATTAAATTTTTATTGATGCCATTGGAAGTATTTGAAAATTAATTGGTTTTCTTTATTAATTCAAACCCTTCATTGACAGCAAACAAAACAACTTCCAGTAATGTATTATATGTCCTGCTGTGAGCAACAGATCTCTATGGATTATATAAAACTACAAAAGAGAATCTTTAAGACAGAGTAAGATGAGGGCAAAAACATTCACTAACATATGAACTATCCCTACATTTGATTTTTGTCCATTTGCCTGTTTTAATGGTACTTACAATATTTAAGAAATTTGAAATTAAAGTTTTTTAATTTTATGTTTTTAAGCACAGGCATAATCTATCCAAATAATTCCAATTACAAATATCCTACCTATAGCAGATAAGTCTTTAAACTTTCTCTTATACACTTTCAAGTACAATGTCTAGTCATATGATAAAAAAACTAATAATCTTGAGTTGAAATTTTTTATTTGATTTTTGGACTAATGCCATTTATTTTTTCAATCATGAATGCATGATATGTTTTGTGCATCTTTTCTTCACTCCAATTATGGGCCCCCAAGGATGGATCTTTACATCTTATTTTCTCTAAACCAGTATTTCTCGATCTCGGCACTATTGACATTTTATGTTGGATAATTTTTTGTTGTACACATTTGTTTTGTGTATTGCAGTATATTTAGAAGAAACCCAGCCCCTACCTATTAGATGCTAGCAGTGCCCCCAGCCAGGAGCTCTGGTAGCATAGTGGCTAAGGCACTTGACTGCTAACCAGAAGGCTGGCGGTTCAAA